AGTAGGACCTAAAAGGGCTAAGAGACGGATTTTATTGCTGTGAAAGAGTCGATAAAATTTACCGGTTTTGTAACTTCTTCATATAGTCGAAGCTCTCCTTGCAACCACTCCTCTCGTAAGCAACCAGCTCTAGCTACGACCACCTTTGTGAAACCCTGTTTGAAAAGCTCTCGTAAAAGACCACGACCACGAGATTACCCAACTGGACTTATCCTTTGTTTTTAAGCTCTCGTAAGCGAATACTCGGAGTCTTATTCATATAAATGAAAAATAATGAAACTGCACAGTGTGCTATTCTCACTGCATACACAATTGGCCCTTTTACTCCTTTACTTTCCGTCGTGTTGGGCCTGCGAGCTGGTGGCATGATGCATTGCGGCCCTTGGTTAGAATTACTCGGTTTTTGCCCGTCTCTTGGCCAGTCTAACGGAGTTCAGTGAAAGAGACTTCAAAGTTTCGCCCCTTCCACCTCCCCCGTAGGCAGTTGACGTCACATACCCTCATTATGCCTATTTCGATCTATTGTTCTGGCAGTCGCGGTTTCCTCCCATAACTTAGTTCCCAGTGACGGGGCAATGGGTATGCAGTGCGAATATTATACCAGCGGTCTAAAAAATTGGAGGTAAAGTTTAGCCATGTCTATATCAGATAAAAATACACTCATTTAACATTAATTTCTTTTGTTTTTTTTTCTTTATGAATCATTAATGAGTTTCTGCAGCTCTTGTTAGCAAGCAAATGCAATTACAGCAGCCGCTAAAAGGGACGCAAAGTTCTAAACTAGGTATGTGAAAGGTGCAACATTCGTCAATAGGGTTTAGATGGTGTACGAAAGGGTTGCCTTTTATGTCAAAAATGGGATATAAAAGGGCAAGGGGTTGGACCATATTGCCGGTTTTCAGTGTCACGCCATTTAAAATAGATCAAAATAAAAATCAAAACCGTTCAATAGATGAAGTCCGGAATCTGGGAAATGAAAGGAGGTAAATATTCAAAGACCCTCGCCAAGATTCAGGCCAGAAGAATATTCCGTATGGGAGATATCCGAAGAAATGTTTTGCCCTAATTTATAGAAATTTGTATGGAGACGCCATGCTGGTACCCACCTGGATGGGCACCAACATGGCGGACGGAAACCAGCAAATACATCTATTACCGAGTTTTGGTGCAAAAGCTTGAATTTGTTCCTCGAGGAACTCATAAACATTAAACTAATACTTTTTCTAATACATGAACTGTTTATATAGCAAAATTCCCCGGAATACGTCACTTTTTTAACCTACATGGCAGCTCTCTCGGCCGTCATGTAAATGCCACGTCACGCAATAGCTTGGAAATTCAAGCGTACTCTATCATAAAACCAAGAACCCTTTTGAAGCGAAAATTTGTATGAAAATTATAGTTTTCAGCTGCTCTAATACCTCATGAAAGTAAAATCTCAGTAGGATCAATAGTTTTGTATTTTGAATTGTAGTGACGTCATGTGAAAACCAACAATACCTGTATTTGTCTCCAATTTTTCCCAGGAAATTTTAGTCTGCAGGAAGAAAAACTTTTAACAGAAAAATGTATAGAAAATTTTTATCAAAGGGCTCTATGAGCCAACACGTGAATCAATTGAAGGTTTTGCGTTAATCTGTTTAAAAAGTAACATTTTACCAGATGTTTGTGTTGGGGGTGGGGGACGGTCTCCAGTCAGTTAAGGGTAGCTGTGTCTGGAGAAGGTTTTAAGAAAAAAATTTTCATGGTAGTAGAACTAATGTAGACAAACTGCTCAGTACGTTTTGACTCAGCTACCATAGTCAGAGAGTTTGCCACCTGAATCTATACATCGTACACTGTTTTTTCGAGTGTTTATATGCCGACATTTAAGATTTAGGATTTTAGTACCTTCTGTTTTTAGACTGGAAAAATATTATAACATTTACTTTTGGGTACCTGAGCTTGCACCGTCCTGCAACGCGCGCCACGTTATGAGGAACCGCAAGGAGGTTTTTTTTCCCCGCTGCAGGGTGCCTCCGTTGCTGTGGACGCTTATTACAGAAGGAGATTATCACACCATTTCCTACTGTGCAAAGTAATTACTTTTCTCGCCTTCGTGATCCAATCAGAAATACAAAGAAATATGATAAGTGTCATTTCCTTCAACGCTTTAGGTGAACATGCAAAAACCGAACACGTGTTTTCCGCCGTCGCGAGACGGCCACCTTGAAGTCTCAGCACTCGGGCAAAAATGTAAACAGCTTTATAACCCGTTGAATCCACTTTGTTACTTTTGCTTTAAGTCAGCTCGTTCTTTATATGATATAAATACAAGCTTTCACAACCTGCAGTGCGTTTTCTGTTAGACCAGCTTTTGCCATGAGAGGCTAGGAGGCTGAATGGCAACGATTTGCAGTTTTTGTTATTTTTCAGCAAATTGCTATCATTGATCTCCGAGGTTATGTGTGTGCTGATTCAACGATAAGGCTGTACTTAATTGGGCACCAATAGAGTACCG